ATCCACCAACACACCCAAGTCCTTCTCCTCAGGGCTGCTCTCAAGCCACTCGTCACCCAGCCCATATCCATGTTTGGGATTGCACCAACCCATGGGCAGGAACTTGCATTTGGCCTTGTTGAACTTCATGAAGTTCACATGGGCCCACCTCTCTAGCCTGTCAAAGTCAAGGTTGTAGGAACATAACCGGCAGTGGAGTCTGCTGAGGACAGTCAGGGAAACCATGACAGGGCTAGGGCATTCTGGGAAAGGACAAGGCCCCAGGCGTGCCCATGGCATTGTTTGTATACTCACAGAATGTACAGAGAGGGAATGAGTCAAAACAAGCCAGAAATTTTTCCTGAGGGCAATGTTAGGTAGGATGGGGTCAAAACCTAACAGCACAATGCACACACCTGAGAAGGCAACAACAAGTGAACATTGGGAGGGAGAAGGATAGGATACATCCTTATGCACAAGAACCCATGGGCTTCCAGCTGAGGATGACTGGAGCTTCCACATGTGAACAGCACTTCAAACACTGGAGTGACCTAGGCTGATGTCACTTGTCTGCTCTGAACCTACCCAGCACTTGAGTTGAGACTTCTGCCCACCCTGCTGCCTTCCTGCCTTCCTAGAAATCCTGGAGCCTTTCATCCCAGCGCTCAGAAGAAGCCTTCATTGGGGAATGGGCATGGCACAAACCTGGAAACGAAAAGCCAGCAGTGCAGGAAATGAAGCACAGCCCATATCATTAGCTGTGATGGTTTGCATGCAAGATGAGCTTGTCAGAAAATTGTTACCTCTGCAAAGGGTGTCTCTGGTCCTGCGCGCAATGAAGGACCGGTATAAAAGCCAGCCCAAGTCCCTGCTCTCTCATACACTTCTTTTGCCTCCTTCTCCTTGAGAATCAGGTGAGTCTGAAACCCCTTCATCTTCCTCTTCCATAGTGAGATCTCCCCTCAATGAACTTCTCAACTGATGTGGTCTCTATTCTGTGCTGGGGCTTGGAGCACCTTGTCTTGACAGAGGGAAATAAGGAGAAGGTCAGCTTAGAGAGAGGCTGGGATGTAACTCTGGTGGCTTTTGATTTATGAGCTAGGAGAGAACTTCCTTGGGTCAGGCTGCTCTTTTTAGGTCCCTGGCCAGATGAGGCAATGAAGACGTGTGGCTCCTGGCATAGTCTCTATGTTCCCACTTATTGGTGGCCTTGGCTCCTTTGCAACAGGGTAAGCAGTCTGCTCCTCACCTACGCTTGGGCTCTGCTTCCCCCATCCTCTCTCCCAGGTTCATCTCCACCTTTGAGACATGTCCTGCTACAACCAGTGCCTGCCCTGCCAGCCCTGTGGCCCGCCACAGCTGGCCCACAGCTGTACCGACC